AAAAAAAAACCTATCAAACAATACCCCTGAGTAGTAACTACTCTTCTAGAATGAGAAAGACGATGGCTGTTTAAAAGAACTTGCTTTTAAATCAGGGGTCTTCAATCCCCCGGTCCATAGACCGGCATTGGTCCATGGGCCAGGGATGGGATTCAAAAATTTTTACTACCGGTTCTGTGGCCCTGGTTTGGTGGGTGTCGCATGACTTGGTGGGCATGGCTTGGTGGGCATGGTGTGTCTTGGTGGGCGTGGCAGGGGAAGGATACACTGCAAAATCCCCATTCCCTCCCCACCCCACTAACCTGCTTTCCAGCTCTGTTCTCCTGTGCAGGGCAACCAAAGAAGACCCAGCCGATCAGCTAGGACTCAATGGGAGGCAGAGAAGAGATGGGGTTGGCGGGGCCAGTCAGAGGTGCCAATGGCCGCTTCTCCGAACTACTCAAAATTTCTGCTACTGGTTCTTTAGAACTGGTCCGAACCGTCTAAATACCCACCTCTGAATCGTATGATATGCCATTCCATGGCAAGACCTCCTCTTGAGAAACGATGCACCCAGGGACATTCTATCACTCTTGCTTCTATGGTACCCTGTATGCCAGTATAACCGGATGTGTTGTGTTTTGATGCTGCAGACTGACCCCCTATGAGTGGTACAGCCCCCATCCCTGTTCTCAAGGGCGATGCAATCTACTGGTGAACCAGTATTCCCTGGGCAACAGCCTGTGGTTTCCTGTCGGTGGATTCATGCAACAGGGATCGACGATTGCCCCACGAGCTTTGTCCACCCGCTGTGTCAGTGGAGTCTGGTAAGAAAATGGGGGGTGGGGAAAAGAAATCGTGTTTCTTCTTGAGGTGGTTCCATAGAATGTTATTGACATGGGTTGTTGGGGGGTGAGAGCTTTGGTAACATCAACCAATCAGTCAATGTTTGGAATACTCTACCTGACTCTGTGGTTTCTTCCCCAAACCCCCAAAACTTTAACCTTAGACTGTCTACTATTGACCTCACCCCCTTCCTAAGAGGCCTGTAGGGGGTGTGCGTAAGCACACCAACATGCCTACTGTCCCTGTCCTATTGTTTCTTTGTATTTTTCTTATAAGTATCTATCTCATGTATTCAAAACTATGTTTATTCTTATACCTGTATCTTGTAAGCGATTGACAAATCAAATAAATACTAAAAAAAAAAACCTACTAAAAAACCAACCCATCAGAGTAGAGCTGGAAGGAACCTTGGAGGTCTTCTAGTCCAACCTCTTGCTCAAGCAGGAAGACCTAGACCATTTCAATCAATCAATCAATCAATCAGAATAGAGTTGGAAGGGTCCTTACACATCATTTAGTCCAACCCCCCTACCCAAGCGGGAGACTCTACACCATTTCTGACAAATGGCAGTCCAATCTCTTCTTGAACGTCTCAAGTGATGAAACTCCCACAACTTCCAAGGGCAACTTTTGTTCCATGGGTTGATTGTTCTCACTGTCAGAAAGTTTCTCCTTATTTCCAGGTTAAATCTCTCCTTGTTCAGTTTCCATCCATTATTCCTTGTCTGACCTTCAGGAGCCTTGGAAAACAGCTTGTCCCCCTTCCTCTCTGTGGCAGCCCCTCAAATATTGGAAGATTGCTCTCCTGTCTCCCCTGGTCCTTCTCTTTGCTAGACTAGCCAGGCCCAGTTCCTATAACCATTCTTCATATGTTTTAGCCTCCAGTCCCCTAAGCATCCTGGTTGCTCTTCTCTGTACTTTTTCTAGAGTCTCAACATCTTTTTTATAATGTGGTGAACAAAACTGGATGCAGTACTCTAGGTGTAGTCTTACTAAGGCTTTATAGAGTAGTATTAGTACCTCACTTGATCTTGATTCTATCCCTCTGTTAATGCAATTTAGGATTGCATTGGCTTTTTGGGCTGCTGCTGCACATGGCTGGCTCCTATTTAGCTGGTTGTCCACTAAGACTCCAAGATCCCTAAGACACATTTCAATCAATCAATCAATCAGAATAGAGCTGGAAGGGACCTTGAAGGCTCAAGCAGGAGATCCTAGACTATTTCAGATATGTGACTGTCCAGTCTCTTCCTAAAAACTTCCAGTGATGAAGCATCCATAACTTCTGAAGGCAACTTCTGTTCCACTGGTTAATTGTCTTCCCTGTTTGGAAGTTTCTCCCTGATTCCAGGTTGCTTCTCTCCTTGTTTAGTTTCTATCCATTGTTTCTTGTCCTGCCCAAATAAGTTGACTCCCTCCTCTTTGTGGCAGCCTCTCAAGTACTGGAATACTGCTGTGATGTTCCCCCACCCTGCAGTCCTTCTCGCTCGACTAGCCAAATCCAAATAATAGCGAAGACAGACGATGCAATAGCAACTGAGACACTTAATGGCACTCTAGGTTCAGATATTCCCATGTTAATGTGTTTGGAGAAGCTTTATATACTCATATTTCCCAATGATTAAGTGAACCCATTTTCCATAATCCTTCAAGATTTTTTAAAAATTAAATTCTAAGCAAAACTATTAGTTCACCGTGCTAGCATGAAATCTGATGATATATTTGGTATCCCCCAGAGTTTATTGGCATTAATGTTTTTGCTCTTAGTTGCAGATTGAATCTCGGGAATCTAGAAGCAGCAGAGGGTAACAAAGGAGATAGATAAAAACAGACTTTTCTCCTAAGAAAAAAACATGAAATTTCTCTATTACATGGTTTTCTGGTTCTTAGCTAGTGTACAATATATCTCAATTCCAGTAACTGTGTAAAACCTAACCTCCACAACCTTTGATTTTGTAATGCCCTTGGGTTTCGTTGTTAAAATAAAGAAGTCAGAAACATCCTGAAACTTTAATAACAAAATAATTTATGCACAATAATAATTTGGGATCCAATTATTGTGGTCCGCCGGCAGCCTGCGGAGATGGCAGCAGAATTGGACAGTGGGGAAGAACATGGGCCAATCCGGGAGTCTCGAAAGGACTCGGATGAGGGTCCTGCGTCCGATGCAGAGATGGGGCCAGGACCTTCTGGGAGTGGGGTGCTGCCTTTGGAGTCTGGCAGCAGTGAGGCAGAGGAACAGGGGAAGCCTGTTTCCAGTACATATGTGCACAGAGCTGCTAGGAGGCAAGAGCAGCTAAAACAAAAGGGGCGACTCGGGAGTAAGGCTTGGAGGTGATTGCCCCTCCCATAAGACATAATGGAAGTGCAAAGGGACAGGAACCTTTGCAGGAAGCAACTTTGTTTGCTCTGTTCGGATTCAACCTTGAAGCTCTGTGTGGACTTTGTACTTCAGTTGGTTTTTTTACAGTTAATTTGGCACTTTAGTTGTTGGCCGCAATTCAAAGGAGAGAAAGGTGGGTGCTTATCTTGAGGGACTGTTTGGGACTCATTATGGGCTGGGAATGGACATAATTCCCAGCATTGAAATAAAACAAGAATTGTTTGGACTAAGCCTGTGCTTAATTACAGTCTCAGGAAGCCTTGGTCGGCACACCAATGATCCCACTAGTAGAAGAAATAAGTCTTGCAATGCTGCCTTCTGTATCCAACCCTACCTTTACCAGCTTCTGATGTGCAGAGGAAATAGCATTAGATGAGCAAAATTAGTTCTTCTTCCAGATGTTTGAGGATTACATTGCAATTCCCGGACTTCAACCAGAATGGTGAGAATTCTGGGTTGCTCTTTCTGCACATCTGGAAGGAACCAAGTTCCAACAGGCTGCTTTGTAAGATGTCCATTGATTCTAGAACACATGCCTGTATTTTACACAGATTAAGGCTTTTTTTCCCCCCACTTAATCCAGCCCGTTCTTGATATATTGACGTCTTAGATAGTCATAGATGTTTAGCACCATTCAGAAAGGAAGGGGTTGCTCTTAAGTTGCAAAGCCCAGATCATTCCCATTCTGTCTTTTGCTTCTTTTTCTTCCACTCAAGGTGGGCTTTTACCTTGATCATCATCTCCTCCTATACGGCTAACCTGGCAGCTTTTCTCACTGTGCAGCGCATGGATGTACCCATTGAATCTGTCGACGATCTGGCTGATCAGACAGCGATTGAGTATGGCACAATCCATGGAGGCTCCAGCATGACATTTTTCCAAGTAAGTCCTTTGGGTCCCGAGGCCAGAATTCATTTTTAGAATAGAGTAGAGTAGGGTAGGGTAGCGTAGTGTAGCATAGCGTAGAGTAGAGTAGAGTAGAGTGGAGTAGAATAGAATTCAGGAATAGAATAGAATAGAATAGAATAGAATAGGGAAAGAAAGAATAGAATAGAACAGAAAATAGAATAGAATAGAACAAAAAATAGAATAGAGAATAGAATAGAATAAAATACCAAGTGTGATTGGACACACAAGGAATTTGTCTTCGGTGCATAAGTTCTCAGGGTACATTAAAAAATACATTCATCAAGAATCATAAGATACAACACTTAGTGATAGTCATAGGATACTAAATAAGCATAGGATACTAAATTAAACAATATAATAGTAAAGATCCAAGCAACAAACCTGTAGTCATAAGTGGGAGGAGATAGGTAATAGGAAGGATGAGAAGAATAATAGTAATACAGTCTTAGTAAATAGTTTGACAGTCTTGTGAGAATTATTTCTTTAGCAGAGTGATGGCATTCGGGGAAAAACTGTCCTTGTGTCTAGTAGTTGTTCTGGTGTGCAGTGCTCTATAGCGTCGTTTGGAGGGTAGAAGCTGAAACAGTTTGTGTCCAGGATGTTAAGGGTCAGAGACAAATAAATAATAAAGCCTGTCTCTGGATCTGTAGAAAGGTCTATCCAATCGATGGCGAGGTTAGGCTTATCTTTATTCTTTTGTTTTGTTAAGAACTCACGGTACCAGACGTATCAAAGAATGTGGAATTACATGTATTCTAAGCAGCCAAGCGTCTTTGTTAAAAGCACAGAAGAAGGCATCGCCCGGGTGCTCAACTCCAACTATGCTTTCCTGCTGGAGTCCACCATGAACGAGTATTACCGCCAGCGCAATTGCAACCTCACCCAGGTCGGGGGCCTTCTGGACACCAAGGGCTACGGGATTGGCATGCCAGTCGGTAGGCAGCGAAGTGAAATTCTAGCTATTCTGAGCTGTCTGCAGAGGTTCAGGGCATTAATAGATCCTACAGATTCATGAAGGGATGTGGTGGCTCAGTGGCTAAGATGCTGAGCTTGTCAATCAGAAAGGTCGGCAGGTCGGCGGTTCGAATCCCTAGCGCCGCGTAACGGAGTGAGCTCCCGTTACTTGTCCCAGCGGCTTCTACCAACCTAGCAGTTCGAAAGCACGTAAAAAAAATGCAAGTAGAAAAACAGGGACCACTTTGGTGAGAAGGGAACAGTGTTCCATGCGCCTTCGAAGGCGTTTAGTCATGCCGGCCACATGACCATGGAGACATCTTTGGACAGCGCTGGCTCTTCTTCGGCTTTGTAACGGAGATGAGCACCGCCCCCTAAAGCCAGAAATGACTAGCAGGGATGTGCAAGGGGAAACTTTACTTTTGCAGATTCATAAAACATCAGAAGCCCTTCCATGCAGGGACCTCAGCCCTAAAAAAAACCTTGGTCAGGTTATTCCTAAGCCGCATTGAATTGTCTGATGGTTTTGCTTGCTGAACAAATCTCTTTGAACCTCTAAGATAAGAAATAACCCATATGTCTTGTGGGGGTTGGGAGGGAAAAGGAATCCCTTTCCTTAATGGGAAACGGAACCTTCCTTAGTCTTATATGCGCAGATATTATTGTAGGAAGAGGGAAAAATAGGAACACATTCATAGCAATATAATTACTACTATGGCAATACATTTTCCATAATAAAAAACACATCTAAGTTTCAGCAATGAGCAAATTGAGACTTTCAGGCAACGTAGGAAATACCTTCGTTCTTCTGGAATGCTCTACGGCTTCAGAGAGTACATCAAGAGAGTTTTAGAACATTGTAACTTTAAAGACTCAGGCAAGAATAGATTTTAAAAGATTTGATTCTACCTGACGTCCAAGATTTCCTGCGATGTTTCACAAAAGGAAACAGACTTAAATGGAAAATGGAAATCCTCCCAAGGCAGAACGAGTAGAAGAGTGGATTATTCTTTTAGTTTCTGATTTGCCCCCTTGGCTTTACAGGTTCTCTTTTCCGTGATGAGTTTGACTTGGCCATTCTCCAGCTGCAGGAGACCAACCGCCTGGAAATCCTGAAGCGAAAGTGGTGGGAGGGCGGACAGTGTCCTAAAGAGGAGGACCATCGAGCCAAGGGTAAATAATGAGCGCCTTCTCTGAAATGTATTCGAACATAAGTAGCTTGAGTTGGTAGTTGGACCATTGGGCTGAGCTCCGAGCTGGGCAATTTGATTTCAAATGGTTCGTCACCATTCGAGGAGACGTTGTCAGTGTGCACATTCCCTCTCTCTTTTTTTTTTCTTCCTTTTTTTTTTTTTTGGTGGTGGGGGAGACTGAATTTTGGACAAAGGGGAAAAAAATCTGGCCCTTAGAAGCAAATAAACCATAAGGCCCTTAGACTCTAGGTTTGCATAGTATTCATTTATGCTGGTTTTGGGCGGGGGGAAACGAGCATGGAGCAAAAGCAAACAGGATAACAGTCTGTATCTTTCATCCAGCAAAGAATTTGTGTTCTGTATGTTGGGACAGCTCATAAAGAAAAATAGATGTTTGGAAACCATCTTTGCTTCAAACCTATGTTTTATCATAAAGATGAAAGAACTGGGAAGTCGGCAGGAGAGGGGGAAGGCACCTTAAAAGCAATTTTGAAAGGAAATTGGTTCTTTCCATCAGTACCTTATAATCTCTCCCTCCCTCCTCCCTCTGTGTGTGTAAACCTCCAATTGCCTCTCTCTGTGTGTGTGTGTCTTTACATTGATTTGATTTTTATTCAAATATATGTTATTTCCTAATGAAAGTTCAGTACTGCTTTTAAAATTCTTACTCTCGGTGGAAATTCCAGGCCAATTCTGCAGAGACAAGATTATGTTACCGAAGCACTTTTAACTGCCTTGCCGGTCAGCCTCAGACATCCAGAGACCAGGGAGAGCGCTAATTGCTTTATCTTGACATCTGAAACACATAACTAAACTTCAAAGAATAAAAAAAATAAAATAAACCGATAAATTATGAAATAGACTCCTGTGAGAGAGAAGAGGGGGAGGAGGGGAGGAGAAGGGGAGCACATAGGGGACCCTTCAATAAGGAGAACGAGCTCTGACAGATCTCAACCTGAGCTACAAATACTCTCCTTCATTATGCAATGTATATATATATCATCCAGGTCATTTATTCATAAGTCATCTACCCAACATATAGTGCTAGAATGCCAAAATAGAAGCCGTAATAGAGACTTTGCTGATTTCCTGGTTGTGACAAATGAAGCAAAAATAAAATAAAATACGTTTATAATATTTTAGATTTTATATTTCAAAGATGTTGAGATTCTAGAAAGAATGCAGAGAAGAGCCACAAAGAGGATTAGGGGACTGGAGGCTAAAACATATGAAGAACGGTTGCTGGAACTGGATATGTCCAGTTGGATGAAAAGAAGGACCAGGGGAGACAGGATAGCAGCCTTCCAATATTTGAGGGGATGCCACA